TTATAGTCGACAGTGGTACTCACTGCTTCACTGGGAGTGCTCCGGCCCATGAATCATTTCCCTCAGCCTCATATTGATATTGATTGTAAGGCTCATTCCTCGCATCAATCTCAGTTTGTCTGTCGTTAAAATCTTCCGCCCTTCCAATGCCCATCGTAGGCAAGGCAGCCGGCGATTGTGGGATCGATTTCGTTTTGACGTTGAGAGCGCAGCTCTTTATTCTTTATTGGGTTGAGGTATGAAGTGTGAAGGTTTTGAGTTCGTGCAAATAATGTTTTCTGGTATCTCGAAGAGGAAATTAGCTCAAGGTATGGAAGAATTTTGGTTGTCAAACAAAGAACTTTTCTTTTCTCAGCAAGATTTCTTGACGATTGTGCGGAGTAAATTTTGTGCTAAGTCCAACACTTGATTGACTTAGCGCAGAAGATATGTAATATGTAACTTCCTCCTTGCGGTATGAAAATCGATTGATTGATCTGGCGTTGAAAAACAAAACAAATGTGCCCTCTTGGTAGAAGATCTTTTCATCTGTGTAAATGGTTGAAGTTTGTGGATCGAATCAATTGCCACGTCCAGTTATTTTGGTAATAATTGAAGTATTACTGGCTGTGTGAATTTTGTTTGGACATCATAATAGTGGGCAGCGTTCCAGATAAGACGAGGGGCGAGGGGTATGAAAAAGGAATTCCACGTACAAAAAAAGTCTATTGCTTCAAAATGGTTTGGATGTTTTGCCACGACAACAACTGCACGAAGACTGAAGGAGGTAGATAGATACACTTTGGGGTATTTGATCTGACGAAGAGGAGGATCGAGTTCAGTTTAAGAGGGAGGCAGGCTTTTATGAGAAAGATGATCTCCAAACAGAGGTGGAGAATGAATATCCAGCGCGAATCGGAGCAGGCCGTCCAAAATTGTCCAATAATTTGGTTGATACTAGGTACGCGGCTGCTGATTCAATAATTTGAATTTGTTGATTTTCATTCACTTGATTGCACTTACGAGTACCGGTATTATTAGACTTATTAGACTTATTAGACTTATTAGACTTATTAGACTTATTAGACTTATTAGACTCATTAGACTCATTAGACTTATCACACTATTACACCTATGACACCTATGACACCTATTGCCGGTATACCTAATACACTTTTTCCCGCACTTACTAGAAACCTACCTAGGACCTGAGGAAAGGTAAAAAGGGACCTAGTATGTGCCACTCGGGAAAGTCTTCTCTATAAGACTTTCCACTACCTAGGTGATCAAGACTATCGGGAGGTCCATACAGGTATTTCAATCTTCCTACAACCATTTCATTTTACAACTCCAAGTCAAGAAGAGAGTCTTGGGGATTCATATGTAGTACGGGACCTGATAGATTGCTATCACAGTCATATAAAAAAATATCAAGTTGGTGAAGCTCTTTAGACCCATGCTGACCATTTCTCCCACGCCTATGGATTGAAACAACCGATACGTTTATTAGTTCCCCCACACTCGTCTGCATCGACTAGGGCAAGGATCTTTGCATGGTGTGAATTGGCCAGTTCTCTAATCGACCAATGAAATATCTCACCGAGAACGATTTCATGGAACTCGACTCTCATTATAAGTTAAGATCTCGGCCGATGTCGCTCCAGTCAAGTTTGGTCAATATATAGGAAGATTTTATGGGTTACATTACCTATGTTGGACAGACCATTGGATCAACAACACTACTCTCCGGAGATACCCCAACATGTGTAGAAGAATGTAGCCAGGCCAGGATAGGCATACGATGATCCTCATTCAGCATGAGATATGAGATCAGATTGGGAACAACGTTGAGGTGATAATATCGATCTCTGAATGGATTCCCATTGGTAGCGGCGGCAAGGATCCCCGCCATGCAAAAAAAAAAATTACACACAGGAACATGAACATCTAGAGGTCCGACCAATTACGAGCTTCAGATAGGCAGATTACCATTGAGATTGATTGAGTGAGGGGTATGTCCCCCAGCCCATGGTCATCCAGCTATGAAGGAAATATCTATCCCAGCTTCAAGTGCATGCAGCATTGCAGAGGGTAGACAAGCAAATCCGACGTTTTTCTTCATGCGAGTCGCTTGTTGACATGTGTCATAACTCACTCTCGCTCGTCGAAAAAGTCTATGAGCATTGAGAAGCAAAAGAGAATTCTCCGGATCCGACCGATGCATTCAGCACGAGGTCTTGGGTTGGGCAGAAAAAGTAATCAAATTCATTCGACACCATACGAGAAATCTTCTCCGATCACATCATGGAGACTTGGAAGGTAACTGTTTGTCAGAACAATATTGCTGCGACGCGTTTTTGCTTGAAATATCGGGAGAGATCGGGGACTCAAGACGAGGCTAGAATATGACATTCATTTATTAGTGATTCAGCATTGTTTTATGTACGAAGTACGATGTAGACCAGGGGTTTATATAATAGGACAGCACGATCAGAGATCAGAGCAACTCGTACCGATACCTTTTCAGGGTGACTGTAAAGTTCAAATGGCCTGCTACCGGTACTCTGTACAGATCTAAATTCTAGACTTGGTACACTTTGAGAAGATCGATAGTTCCAACAGGGAACAAGCAGAAGCAGAATCATATCTCATACTTTAGGAAACTACGGGAAAACGAGCCGAGATAGAAGGAAGGTGTCTACATAGTACTCGTAGATGAACAACATTTGATGAGATATATGGCTCTATCAACCATCATTTCTGTGAATACGGGAGAAGAACCTTGACGAATCCGAATCCTAACCGAACGTGGTTGGGAAACATTTTAATTCTGCCATGGTCAAGGTTATTTCACCGCCAGGACGAGGCTGCACCGCTCGCAACCATCCCGCAAGGCTGACTTAAGTTTCGAGCTAAGGCTCAAAGGAAAGAAGAGGCAGGCTATCGAGTTAGGTATAACAATTCTAGAATTCCTTCATGAGCACCACCATTTCAGCATCATAGTACGCCTTACCAACAACATATAACTGCTTCATCATCACCGTGTTCCCCAAGTACCAAACAATTACAATCATGTTTTCCCTTCCAAATCTTGCCCCGACAGACGTGCGTACATCTCATCGTCCACAAGCTTTGTTTGCCTGAAAGTCGCAACTAACTCGCACATCACAGTCCTACAATCTCTGGTACACATCATCTCATAGCAACATTCTCCAGCACACAGAACCCACGAACAATGCATTTGATCATACGGCTCCCCATGTCACATCAAACCAAAACCACGGCTCACGTCGTCAACAAGCCAGTAATAGAACACCTCTAGCACGACTACGCTTAGATGAAGAATACATCGAGAGGAGAAAACAAAATGTGCAAAACTGGGGAAGCTCCTGGATTAAACCTCCCGGAGTAGCAAAATCATTACATCAATTGAGAGAAGAGAAGAGAGAAATGGAAGAACATCAAGAAGCAATGAGACGAGAACAATTAGCACAAGAACTTGCCGAGGCGGAACAGGCGGAAACAGAGGCAATGATACCGGCTGAGAATATGGAGGGTGAAATGGACGGAATGGTGGATCTTGATGATGAGATTCCTGATGCAGATGAGACGGGAATGGGACCTAGTAATTCATCCGATGCGAGTGAAGATGATGAAGAAGATGAGGAAAACGTTCTCGAGGATGTTCCTAGAGCACTCGCAGCTTCTCGTATGACAGATGAAGCTTACAGAGATGCGATAACACGTCTCGGAGCTCCCAGAGGTTCAATGCTAGAAGATGATGGCGCTTCGACTATTGCCGAGGAAGAGCAATCGCAAATGCTACAAGAGGAAGATTTGGTTCATGAGCATGAAGAAGATAATCAAGATGAAGATATGGAAGTCGATCTTGATGATGATATTCCTGAAGCTGATGAAGGATATGAACATACGGATACAGAAGATGAAATTGATAGCACTGAGGAGGAAAGTGAAGATGAAAGTCTTCCTCCTGGAAATCATGGAGGTCATGGTGCGAGTATGGTGAGGAGTGATGGGACGCAAAATTCAATGGACCTTTCGAATCTCATATCGCATGATAGTAGCGTGTTATATAGTAGTCCTCGGGGAGCAAGATGATGATGCATGATTCGTTCATAGATATAGCTACGATTCTTAAAGGCAAATACACAGTTAAGGGCTGACGAGCAATATCCTTTGTAGAATCTTGGGGTATGATCAGGCACGAAGTACAAGAGTAGGATGCCTCTTGATTCGTTCTAATACCACCAATTGTAGACACAACGCCGTGACAACAAAGGGATTCATCACATACCATATCAATCTCGGGGCAAAAAACAGGCGTATAGGACGAGACCTGGAGAAAATTCTAATTCATCGGAAGAGATAAGAGATATCAAATCACTACGGCGTCATGGAGTATACATCTTTTTTTTTTTTTCTCCAGATACCCCAATATAGATTTTTTAAGCTTTTTTCTACTCGGTTTTTCTTGTTTTCGATTTTTTCTAGTGATGTGAAGTGATAGGAAGTGATTGTGCTATTTTATTTAGGAAGTGAATAATAATCATTATGATGATGATGATGATGATGATGATGATAATAAGCTTGGTGGATGTGTGAGTGGGGAGTTTAGTGTGCGAACTCGAGCTCGAGCTCGAAGGGATGTTTGAGAATTGGTGATTGTTGGGAGTGAGGGAGTGAGGGAATGACGGTGATGGGCATTAGATATTGATGAATGGTAGATGGTAAGGAGGGAGAAGGGTGAGGGGTGAATTGGGAGTGAGGCAGTTGAATGTTGAATGTTGAATGTTGAATGTTGATACATGGGTGGTAAAGAGGGGGAGGGGTGGGTTAATGGGTTGAGGGGAGGGTGGAGAAGTGGATGGATGGAGAAGTGGTCTTGGGGAGAAGGGGAGGGAAGGGAGAGGGGAGTATAGGAAAATAGTTGGTTATTGGGAAGGGAGGAGCCGACGAGAGGGAGAGGTAGAGAGTTGTTTGTTGGGACTTGGAAATGGTAATTAGTGACTTGATTGGTTTGAGGAGGGGGTGTAGGGAGGAGAAGGAGCAGTAAAAGCTGGTTGGCCGTTTGGATGGATGAATGGATGGGAAAATGTATGAGGGTTTGGAATTGAGGTGTGGGTCATGGAAACATGGAATTTGGAACTTAGAATCCGAAAGGAAGGGAACATGATGAAGTAAATAGCTAGCTTTGGCAATTTGGACTTGAAATGAGCGTGAGCATTGAGAGCTCGAACGAAATTAGGTTGGATTGGATTGGAACTGAATGGAATCAGTATAGAATTGGAATGGGGATTGTGAGATGTTATATGGAAGATGGGAGATGAGAGATGAGAGATGAGAAGTTTGTGATTTGAGGGGAGGGATTGTGATGGATTAGGAAAATGGGAAAGGGGAAAGAGTGATGTGATTGCGGGTGTCAGGTAGAGATTCGGAGATGAGGGGAGGAATGGTGGGTTGGGGATTGGTGACTGAGGATCAGGAAATGGATTATGGAGGGGAAGAAAATAAAGAGAAAGAAATAAGATCTTGGATATAAAAGATGTAATGAAATGATAAGATGGCATTTAGAAAATCAACTCGTATGGAGATTTTCTTAGTGAGTTCGCTACGAAGAATGTGCAAATGTATAAATACCTATGTGTATACATATATATATATGTGTGTGTGTGTGTGTGTGTGTGTGTGTGTAGCGCGTATATACATCTTAATCATAGCCCCCCTTTGTATATCTTTAACCAACTACTCCATCCTCTCACCCTTACATCTTCTCAGCCCCAAACCCCCAAAATCTCCCTAATCCTCCATTTCAGCCCCATGTTAACCCATCTTATCCCTTTTTTTTTTCTTCCTCTCGCTCTTCCTCTCCCCTTCTCTCCTTCACCTCGAAATCGCAAACACCATCAAGGTAAACATTGACCTATCATCAGTCAGTTCCAAAATTTTCAACCAGCTCTCCTCGAGTCCCAGATTCCCAGACTCAAGAAATAAAAATTGAAAATAAAAATATACTCACTATAATAAGCATTGTTAATTTTACAACTCCCACTCGCGCACACCGTCGGTCCAGTATACCCTGTTCCTCCACACTGTCCATAAAGCGTTTGCTGAGCCCCACTCGCAAAAGAAGTAGTCGTGCTTCCTGTACTAGACGTGCTCATTTTCGTCGTAAGAGTAGTAATTGGTGCCGATGTCGATGGCAATGAAGAGGTCAAAGAAGTAGTCGTCACACCCACGCTCGTAGAAGTAAAAGTAAAAGTAGAAGTCGATCCCAACCCCGTGCTAGTGCTCGCACCAAGACTCGAAAGTGTCCCGGTTAAGCGAATATCACGACTACTAGCAGCTACATATACATTAAATGTCCCAGATGGTAGAATCCACGACTGAGTCGTCGTATTCCAATAACTGAGATCTTTTCTTCTAAGCGAAAAGGTTACGCTGTTCGCGACGCCAGCTGCGAGATTAATTTTCTTAAACCCGCGGAGTTGTTTCGGGGGGAGTATTAGGAACCGAGCTCGGGAATCCAATATAAAGCTGCGCGACTTCCGCGCCGGAAACCGTGCCATTATTTTTGATCGACACCGAGACTGTAGCGATGTTATCGTAGAGATTTGCTTTTCCTCCCGGCAAAAGAGCGCTATTTCCAGGCGTCGTAGAAAGAGAGGAGATAACGAGATTCGCATATGAAAACGAAGTATAACTCAACCCAAACCCAAATTCATAACGCGGTGCGATGGAACTCTGATCAAAATGTCTGTAATCGATAAACAATCCCTCGGAATAACTATCATCACCACTCGCAATGGCAGTGCCATAATCAGCCTGCGTCTTGGCGATTGTGTAAGGGAGTTTTCCGGACGGAGACACAGAACCGTATAGGATATCTACGAGTGCGTTTCCGGATTCTTGACCCGGGAGACCGGCCCAGACGATGGCGATGACGTTGGGGAGAGCGATGATGCTTTCGAGGATTAGCGGACCCACGCTGTGGATTACGACGATTGTGTTTTTGTTTACGGCGGCGACGGCGGTGACGAGTGCGTTTCCCGAGTGCCAGGGATCGAGATTTATGCGGTCGCCTTTTGATCCTTCGACCTGATTAGAGGGTAAGTAAAAGATGGGTTAAATGCACTTTGAGAACCTACTGTTATATATTCTTCGCCTGCATCGGAATTGATAAACACAATAGCTGTAGCAGCAGCACTTGCAACTGAAGCTCCTGTTGATGTTGAATCTGTATTTGAAAGAGTCAATGTCGTGCCATCTGTAGCGGCCTTGACTTTTAATGCATCATATGGTGCAACTAAATATGGAAAGTCGGCTGTTCCGGAGCCCCAGCCCTATATATCACAATTAGATCTATTTTTTTTCCGAATCAAGAGTAATAACGCCCAGAAGAGAGAAAACTACGTGACTCACCATAGCCAAAGTCCCTGTATCACAACCCCTATCTGTACATGCATTTGCCCCAGCTGGATTGACAATAGCATCTTGACCAATCACTGCTAAACTGACCGGTTTCTTAAGCGGCAATGCATTATTGGTATTCTTCAAAAGAACAATTCCATCGCGAGCAACAGCCCGAGCAACAGTATTATGGTTTGAAGAAACATTGGGTCCGCCGACTCCACCATTCCAGGAACTCCAGCCGGTCACATCGGGATAATTTGTATCTTGACCGATATAATACCAGGAGGCTAGAATACGAGTTGCCATATCATCAAGACGGGATTGAGGAACGGTGCCGCTGTGGGATTGTTAGATAGGATGCATGAGTGTAATCAATGATGAAGGTATTGTTTGGAGACTTACGCAGTCACGGCATTGAGAAGATTGCTTCCCCATATGAAATTATTGTCGCCGAAATTATCTCCTGGCATCGCCATATCCATTCCTGCATTTGCACTGCCTGTTGTGGTTTTCTGCGCTGCCCAATCTGTACACTCGTCAGAAATTCGCAACATGACAACATCTTAGAAATGGTGAGATTTGATACATACCACTAACAACATAACCTTGAAAATCCAATTCATTTTTTAATAATCCCGTAAGTAAAGCTTGATTTTCACAAGCGTACGAGCTGTTAAACCTGTTGTATGAACACATTACTGATGCAACATTTGCCTTGACTGCTTCAGCAAAGGGCCAGAGATATAACTATATCGTTATAAGAATCATGCCTAATCTGTGATGGTAGGTGGACACGCACCTCGTGATTAACTCTATCGACAATATTCGCACTCATTGTTCCGCGATTCAATTCCTGTTCATTCCCAACTAGAAGACATAGTTAGATAGCGAATACTATGAATTTGCAATAACTCACGGTAATGTTTTGCGCATGCTTGGACACCCGCTGCTTGCATGCCTTCTACCGTCTATGAGTACAACGTCAATATATGTCATTTAGTTTCTCGGCAAATTTGTGAAAGGTGACGGAATGAAGTCTTACATTCGCTATAGCAACACCAGAAAGATAAGGATCGTTACTAAACCCTTCCCAATTTCTTCTCCCTGTTCAATATGAGTATTCTCTCAGATAATTCTCTAAGGAATAGGAGATAGCGAGCTACGAACCACTGGAATTTTCCCTAAAGGTCCAGCCACAGGACCTAATTGATTATGAACACCAAGTGCTTTGGCCTCGGCTCCTATCATGTGAAATGAGCTTCTATCTCCCGGAATTTTCGTCTCTACCACATCAGTCACAAGATGGATGCCATCATACCTAAAGCATTACCCCTTGCATACATCAACTCTGTATCCCACGTGCTACCTGTAGTAATTCCAGCAGGAAACGCCGTTACTTTTTGAGCATATCGAATTCTATCTCATATCAATATCAACAACATGAACCATCATCTTTCTTCAGTGGTCAATTCATTCTTTCACAATTCACAGAAAAGTTACGTACCCCAAAGGACCATCTTGTAAACAGAAGGCCGGCCATCCAATCGAAGGAATAGCAGCGGTATTGCCAACACATGGCCCCTTCTCCCACCCAACTCCTGTAACTAGCGTAACTTTGTTCGCATTCGTGAGTTTGGCCAAAGCTGTTTTAGCTTTGGTATATGCGGCATTCCAATCCCCATCACCTGCTGCGGCATGGATGGGGGTAGATAACGCTACAAGGATAAAAGAGTAGAAATACATTTTATATGTACGAAAAGACAACAGAGATGAAAAAAAAAGATTGGAGGCACAGAGAAGGTAGAAATGAGGAATGATATATCACTACTATATACTCACATCCACACTCAAGCTTTGACGTATGAAATCAGGGTTTTGAAATCACTGCGGAATAACGGCTGGTCATGCAATTTGGAAAAGCAATTTGAATCGGCAATGAACCCCTGGTAAACACCCTGAGATACGGCGAGAATGTCCTAGTCTCACCGTGTACCAGATGACTCAAGTCATCCATGGCCATGACGAAATGACAACACCAAGAGGCCACTATACTTCTAACAGTGGACATGATAGTAGGTGTAAAATCCGATGTGCCTTTCACCTAGCATTTATCTACGCACTCCGAAAAAACAAGCACTTTAAACACAGAAGTTGAACGTATGTAATTGGTTTGTATCGGCTGGTTGGCCCCATGGGGTACAGAATTTGACTTTAGCATAAATTCCCCACAATCCACCACTATACTCCCGGTCCGAATCCCCGTTCGGTACTTACTAACAGAAACACAGCGACCACATTTTGGCGCAAAAAAGCGTCTGGGTTTATTTGCACTCTTATTTCTCTTGTATTGCAATGAGCTTATTGGGAGGGAAAGTCTTGGCACGTGGACAAGATTTTGGAATTAACACGTTCCGAGCTTTTTGGTATCATACTTGTTGATCTGCAAACAGATTTTCTCATCTGCCATCGACATCATATAAGACGTCGGTTCGAATGACGTACTTCGCTGAAGCATTCGAGCTTCGTTTAACACCGGTGCCTTCGTGAAGTAAACTTCCCTCAGTTTCACCATGTGGAAACATTGCCACACTACCTTGAATCGGCTTTATTGAATACGCATTCATGCTACCTTCTTTGGCGCTTGGAAGAAAATAAGTCGTCTCCCCAGCGTCAAACTCATCGTTCAGATATATCAAGAATGTGAATAAAGAAGACTGCTTTGCTTCAGATGGAGAGGAGTCATAGATGTATTTATCATTCGTGGGGTCAATCCCGGAAGGGGGCCAAGCACCATCTGTATCATTAGAAAGATGGAACTGATGAGAAAGGGGGCTGCTTACCGATATGGGCACGATATTCCGCACCAGGAACGTAACGGTATACACGAAATCTTCTGTTCAGACCTCTTACCTGTTTCCCATTGACTTGCACTGGAACGAATTCTTTAACTCTATTCCACACTCCATCACAGAAAGCATTATCCGCAACCCAATAAAAGTTGTGAGCCAAGATGCTATTCTCCTCACCTTCTTCGCGTATTGGGGCATCTGGTGTGAATCCAACCGTCTCGCCAGCAGCAATGATTCGAATGCATTCTTCTGGACTCAGAACATCCTTAAGTAGATGTAGATTTGGTACAATTGGATGTGTATGGTGAGTTGTCTTTGGAGGAGTATCAGAAAAGGCAATGGCATTGTCCTGTGATGCCCAGAGGATCGCCGGATGGAGGTTTGCTGGCTTGCGGTCCAATCCTGGTGTTGTTTCTATGACCCGGAATCGAGACTTGATATCTTTTGGCAAGTGATTGAATATGCTACCGTCTAGAACCGAATTATAGATCTGCTTGCGCGGCACCGACTCATCCCTCAGGTTCCATGCTTTCCTTGGTACAATGGGGCCATTTGTGTCTACACCATCCTCGGTTGAATAGTCCACTGGACCGGTGACTCGCAGTATCGCATCCAGCACAACTAATAATTGCTCCTCTCTCGCCGTTCGCTTGGCTGCGGTTTCGTCAAGTTGCTCTGCTAAACCACTAACGACGTCCAAATCTCGAACCCATCGGCAGAGCGCACCTAATTTGGGCTTTTGCCCTCGGATTCGCATCTCCCCAAGTAAAATTCTAGCTTCGGTATAGCCTTCATCTGCAAGAGCACCGCTGATACGAGCCGTAGGGTTTGTGTCGACTACACCAAAATTAGTGCTCGCAATTAGTGACGCGGATGGATAGATAGCATACTAGAAGCATTGAAGCCTGTTGTGCAAGCATTTCGAAAGTCGAAAACCGCAGTTCGCAATTCCTTGCATGCCTTCGATTTTATCAGAGCAGGATTCTGCGATAATATTTTGAGTGTGTCCACGGATATTTCGATATCTTCCTCGGCGATTAGAAGGTCGTGGAGAGTCTTGGGTTCAGTCGAAACCTCCGGAGGTGGAGTGATAATACTTGTAGTCTTCACTTTCTTGATGTTTTGCTCAATGGGTAGATTCTGCTGCTTCCTCTTTCCCTTTGATTTAGCCATTGTAGAAAGAATCTTGTAACTGAGTTGATTAGAGAAATAGACTAATTGGAAGGTATCACTTCAAGAATAATAAATATATTGCCGAGCGGTGAAAGGTGCCGCCACCACTTCCCCACGCCCCCACAAAACTTCTAACCACTAGGAAATTCCCGTTTGACGTTCTATCTAGGTAGGTAGTTAGCTATCGATGGAAGTTGGGAATTTTATCACAGATCGTTCCAAAAGAATTCTTTACACAGTTGATCTCTCAAAAGATGATACACACACGCATTTCATCACTTGAACTCCGTTGCGGAAGCATATTAAAGTTAAGATCTATGCAACTGAGAAGGTCGGAATACGCTGTGTGCTCGTCTACTATCTCTGCCCGTGGACAATTAGTTCAACCGATGACCTGAAATATCGGTGTAGTCGCCGAATATAGTTATTCGTGCTTCAATGCTGTGCTACGTTACCATTGACAAGCATCCTGTAACCAAGTTGACCTAGTATTTTTGACCCACGGCTGGAAGCGATTACCTAGATCTTGCAGGTGTACGCATCGCAGCATGAATCTTTTCTTTTCGTTGTCGGTAAATGATATCTGTGCCAGCCATTATCGAACATCCTATATTTCGGGCGAGGGGATCTTTGGCTCGAAGCAACAAGGATCCCGTCGATTCTCGGGCCAAGACCACACGAAGTCAGCATATGAGGCGTTTATCCAGGCCAATGATTTTGTAAAAACTTTCGCAGGAGTAAGCTGGATTTGGCAGTACAGCCACTGCAACGACCAGTCTGAAGGATCAACGAATTATTGAGCCTACTGATACACCAAGTAGTATGCCAGCGGCATGCAAGGAGCAAGAATTGACGATGAGCCTATCGGTTGAGATCTTGCATGCCGTTTGAAAAGTTTCGGAGATGCTGCCTGTTCATTCGCGGGCTATTCTTCAATGTGTTTGTAGCGGTAAGATTGTTCTAGAGCATATATTCCACCATCTGCAATTGGAATCAAAGAGTGGACTTGATCTACAGTAGACAACATAAGTTTGTCGACTGACTCCCTTTTCTTCCTTTTTAAAACTGGCTCCAACCGAGAAAATGGCTGCGGCACACGTAAAAACGCCACCTGCAGACACAACTGGATTACCAGATTATCTTCTCGACTCCAATGCAGTGATGAAGGATTTTGATGCCAAATGGCGATATAATCAGCCGCCGGACTACACAAATACAAGAAGAGTGTGGGCACAGAGTGTGTGAATTCTATAAGCAAATTTTCATCTACAAAAAGGAATATTCATTAACTTCTCACAGCCAAAACACAAAGTCACACGGCTGCATCCCTACCCTCCCTTGTCGAAAACCTCGTCAAGAACTGGGAAGTAGAAGCCTCTTTCAAAACCGACATTTCTGACTGGCGCACCATCGATCATCCCAATTTCACGTTCTCTATCAATGGCTCTGCACCCGTTACAGGTGAATATATGCTAAAAGTGGGCACTTATAATGCTATCCTTACATCGAACGAATACTATTCTACGGAAAAATCAGATTTTTCGAGTAGTCACAAGACGTTTAAAAGGATGATGCCCACCTTCGCATGGGAGGTGCTAGAGGTATATAGTGGGCCACCAACCGTTAGTTTCTTATGGAGACATTGGGGTATTATGAAGAATGATTATGTTGGAGTCAATGAGTACGTTCATCTCCTCCCACCTTCACACCTTCCCCTTGCCCTGCGTTGACTTCAATTAGCAAAGGTGAAAAGGTAACCATTCCCTCGCATGGCGGAACAATCGACATTCAAGGCGTCGCAATAGCGAAAGTCGACTCAGCAGTACGTCTCCAAGCTGTAGAGATATTCTACGATCCCCTCGAGATGTTCCGACAGATAGCGAACAAAAGCGGTGTCAAGAAATCCGAGTTGCCTAAAGGGAACAAGGACGATCTAACGACGTTATTACATGGGGAAGGATATGCGGCTGAACAGTCAGAGACTGCGGTGGCCTCCACAGGTTGCCCATTTATGCCCGGGGAGAACAGGGAATAAGGTCGAGATTTGGAGCTACGAAAGATGTTCCTCTCAATTGAAAGTACTCAGAGACTTGATACTACCGCTGGAATATGACTGCGTTTGCGCTTGAGGCTCATGATTGAGAAGAATTGAATCTAAATTCGCTCACCTAACCAGCTATTTACTGGTAGTAGGAAATATTCTGTCTTGCACGTCTTTCATGTCACATCTGCTTCACATTTATACTAACCTTTCAGTAATTCTCTCAATGGGGCGATGAAGCAGCTTCCGGCAAAATTTGGTCGGATACTTGACAGCCGCCGTTTTGGGCATTCATAGCTTGACCAGGTAACATCAGTTATTTATAAGTCACTTGGTGAATATCCGCAGCTTTAGAATCAAAGGCTGAATTGTTGATTGGCTTGTTACATGAGAGAACAGATGACGGTCTTTGTCTAATAACTTGAAGTTGAGAATGGAAGGTTCAGCTAGAAATAGATGGCTCTCGGCAATTTCCCATATAGTATGTACTAGTAGCTAAGAAGTCCTACCTAATCATTAATTGGGATGCCATTCTAAAACAATATTTTAAAGGATCCGCTAAAACCTGAATAGTCCGAGCATAATAGAATGTGGACAACTTGGGTTTGAAGACGTCTTGGCAGGGCTGGAAATATCTATTTTCAAGTCAGAGGACGCTTGAATGATTTATCTGAAATCGGGTCCATGTGGTTATCCAATCAGCTAAACTGTTGACACATCTGGATATACGAAAAGGTCCTGTGCTTTGTGCTAAGATTCCAAGTGTAGTACCGATGGCACGTCTCCTGGCGGACAGGACAACAACCACAAATCTTGTACAACTTGTGGTCTCATTATATTCATCTGATTTAATTATCTTCTATTGGAAAAAAATTCTTAAGGCTGAGTCTAGCCCATGAAGGTATCAAATCTCATCTCTCTGCTATCGTCTTTGATATTGTTGAGTCCCAGATTCGTAGCATGGTAGAAAGACCGTGCAACTGTTTCGTCTTCAGAAAAAATTTGGCGTTTGTTTCATTCACCAAGCATTTCAAATTTTAGCTGGCCTGTTTCAATTTATAACTTCTATAGATTGTTTTGTACTTTTGTAACCCTCTTTTTCATATGCAAAACCTAAACCATCGAATGGAAGGACACCAATTTTAGCGGTAACACCAATGGAATGGCTAATGCTATTCACATTACAACCAAATCCTTGGTTATTTTCCCTTCTTGACAGAGACTCCCGCAAGCTACTCCTCATCTAGATTAAGATCTCAAAAATGGAAACCAGGGGGACGGGTACATGTTTGTGGCTTTATTGGTCGAACTTAAAATCTAGGGGATGAACACATTAATATTAGACATAGGGACCCGAGACTCAACACTCTCAAGGGCTGGTTCTCTTCGTAATTTGTATTGCTATCATATGTGAATCCATACACACATGACTTCAAATTCCCAATGTTAATTCGACAGATCATAGCATTGGCGACAGCCTTGCTGGTACAGGCACCGGTAGCTTTATCAGATGATAGTGTTGGACATCATCCCATGCAAAATGGAATTCAGGTCTTGAATCAAGAACAGGTAAATGAATCGCAAGGGAAGTTGCAACAGGCACAGAGTCAGCAATGCCAGATCCAGAATCGACAAATGCAAGGCCAGCAATCGCAGTGTCAACCCTCAACTCAAATTTACCAAAGCCAACCAACAGGAGGACAAGAACGAAGAGGACTGCAGCTTCAAGCTCGACAATCTCAAGCTTCGCAAAATCAGAGAATTCAGCCTCTGTCAACTAATACGGGGGGGTCTGGACAATGCTTTTTATCAAATGGATCTTGTGACCCCAACGGAATACCTTGCTTTAGCAGCGACAGTGCAAGTCGATGTTGTGGATCTGACGAGTTTTGCTCTACAAATAAACTGTGCGTTTCAAAGAATGATTCGAATAAATTCTCCCGTGGTTCTTGTACAGATCCCACTTTCCGAGCGGCTTCTTGCCCGAATATTTGTCAAAATAGTAGGTTTCCAACACTTGCATATGACGTCAGTAAAAGAGGTGTATTTGCTAACATGTAATACAGTCGGCGATACTGGGGCAGTATTACCATGTGGTGATCCGTCACTAGGAAGATTCTGTTGCGACGAAGGCCGGGGTTTTGAATGCTGTTCGACGTTAAGAAAGGTCTTCACACTAGGCAGAGGAACAACTTTTACGGAGAACTCTGCCAATTCAGCCGCCACGGCCAACTCGGATACAGACTTCCAGCCACAAAGATCATCTCAATCCGCAACTACACGCACTGAGACTGAGACTGCGACCCAAATTCAAACTCAGATATCTTCCGCAACTCAGATAGTTGTGAGCACTTCTGTTTCCGTTTCTGTACAAGTTATCACATCCAATCAATCTCCAACATCCACCATAGCGTTTTCGCCAGCAGTTTCAATTACATCTTCGACATCAATCATTCTTATTACACAAACAACATCACAAAACCAAAATAGTCAACCATTATCATCCTCCACCATCTGGAATGCCAATACTCGGACTTCTGCTACTTCAAGTTCCAATGGAGACCAAAGTCAAAATGGAGGAACAAGTTCGACTACAAGTGCGAATTCTCAAGCCTCAAGTAAGAGCCAAACCCAAAACCAAACTGATAACCAGGATATTCAATCCACCGTGTCAAACTTTCTGAAATCCCCCAATAATATGACCGCAATCATTGCTGGATCCAGTGCCTTGGTTGCCATCGTGATATTGGGAATATCGATAGTTTGTTTCAGAAAACGAAGACGGAGTAAGAAGTCAGGTATTCAGTTACAAGATGGTAAAAGACGAGGATCTGCATCTGAGAGGGGCGCTAGCGAGAAAATGGGGAAAATTGATGAAGATGGAAATGGAAATGGAAAGGGAGACACAAGTATAGGGGTATTTGTAACAGTGTCTGAGAAGCTTAGAGGGTTTAAGAAGAAAGCACATACCGCGCATTTGAAAGAAGACGATAGGGTCTCGAGGGAATTTGATGGAGCGCTTGGAGGCGGAATGTACCTGGAAGGTGGTACTATGGGGAGAGGACGACCACGTGGAGACTTAGGAAGGAGTTCAGCGGGTAGTGAATACATGAGTACCAGGGATATGAGTACGAACTCAAACAACCCCCCACCCATCCCTTCGAGCTTCAGCAACCCCAGAACTCCTCCTCAGCCGCCTTCACTACCACCATTTCTTCCATCCCAATCTCTAGATTCGGAATACAGAACCTCTCGAGGATCTTTCACCTCAGCAACTACGGGATCTCATTATAGTCGTGCGACAAATGGAGACCCATTACGAATACCGTTGCAAATAGATATGCCTGTGCCATACCGTCCAGTTGCAAGTGGGAATGGTGGAGCGTATGGGCTACTTTCGAGAGAGGAAGAACAAGGTTCTGGACTCGGGAGGGAGCGAACGAATGACCAGAGGCAGGAAGAACCTAGAGGTTTCTTTTAGGCTTTCATTAGAAGGGGGAAACAGCAGATGTATTCCGCTATGTTTTGTATGAAGCCTAGAATGAGAGTATATAATTATAATTTCAAAAGTAAACTCAAAATGTAAAGTCGAAACTTGAACATCGAAGTGCCGTATCGTCGTGATCTATAGTATGTATTATCTCCAACTTTAGAATCGAAACGAACCAAAATATCCTAGGTCAAAATGGTAAGGTGTGTAACCCGTATTTACTGCCACTTCTTCTTGAACAGACCCACATCGTAATGATACAGAGCCTTGGGCGTAGGCGACCATTTCCTGTGTTGATAAACGCATTGTCGTAGATAGCGTACATAGAAAAGATAGTCCAACTTGTTGAACACGAAGGATTTGTATAAGACGAGGACCACGGGCGGCATGAATGTTTCGTCATACTTCTGCGAAATATACATGTATATGTGTTCGAGCATTAATGGTTGCTCAGGGAGGAAGAATGTACTATAATACGATGCTTGATATATATTGGCCACTGAACGTAGTAGATGCCTTGTAGAGAGTTGAGCTTGGTAAGCGATGTTCATTTGTTGGGTAGGAGAAGTCATTCTGCTGATGTGATTGATTTCTGAGAACAACTTATTTTTGAGACATGTTAGTTAATCAACTAGGAGCCAGTATCTACCTAGTCAATGGCTAGATTCGAATTTGAATATCGAGACAAACCTTGAGAAAAGTACTGTGCTCGATGAGAATTGGCTATACAGATATTTCCATTATTGTTGTATTCTTATGCTTCTCATAATGAACTATCTTGAGCTTAGAATGTGCGAAGACGTTGAGGAGTGTAACCCGAGGCTTGCTTGTAAGTGAAAAAGTTTCCGCGGAGACTGTGATTGCGATGTTTTTTCGACCATGGAGGTCCATTCGTTTGTGAGCTTTGAAGTCAACGATTGAGGTGAGTCTGGAAGGTGACGGAAAAGATCGTAGCTTTACTAATATCCTTGTGGTACCATGTCCTTTTTAGTCTGGAGGTTGAGGTGATTTGAAATTGGCAATTCGAATATGGAATATTCGTACACAAGGAAGGCACTTGGCGAGCTTCCTGGCATAGCGATATTTCTGAGATGCATTACAAAGCAAATCTTCATATATCTTGAATAATTAGGGGTTGACACAGAAGTTTTAGGCCCTCGATCAATGTATGTAGGAAATATTTTGATATGGCTGTATCGCAAATAAATAGACTCTCTAAGATATAAAATGATATACAAAGCAACGCTATCTGTGCAAAATGCTGGATCGTAATCACCCAAGAAATCCGGTTAGAGACAACCTAGCAAAGAATTATGCGGAGATTTGAAAGCCGCATAGATCCGAAGTCTGATAGTCCTCTGGTATCTTCCCCCTCCTGCTCCCCAAGGTGCCTCGGCTCATTTTTGAGCATCTCTCAAAGCACGAATCTGTTGTGCGTAAGTTCAGGTCGCGAAGTAATCGAGATTACAGAGTGTGTCACTGTGCTTTCTCCAATCCTATGTGTGAGCGATGATGAAGTTTAACTGCAAGTTAAAACAAATAGGACGGGATAAACTTGAGAGTTACTATGCCCTCAAAACCAAATTCAAGATTCGTCCCAAAGGATTTGAGGAGTTCGCAGATCATTCTTCATTTGGTCCCTCATTTGTTATCTCATCACCTGGGGTCTCTTGACCTATCAATTTAGGCAACGAAAGTAATGGCTGCAGTGTACCAACTCACACATGTAAAAGCCATGAAGGCACTCGGTCTGGAGCTTTACGGCCAGATTGTCTCAACATCGTAGTACCGTCCCTATTACTTGTGAAACTCGGAAGCATGGAACCGAAAGCTGCCATTTAAAGATGAGCTACAAGGAGTTGAGATTAATGAGTAATTTAGGACAGGCTTATACAAGATTTTATTGAGCCCGAAATTCTCGGCCAACAGTGAGTCGGAAAGCTCAGTACTAACCATGGGAGGTTTAGACAATCACGGATACGGCACACTTTTCCGGTTGGTTGTATTCCATTGAATAAGGATGCCCAATCGTTTAGCCAGGCCAAGTATGAAAGTCGCACCAGCGAGGTAGGAATCAAGGCTCAAATCCCCCTATTTTTCATATTTTTTGGCACCGTAACAAGTCCAGAGGTATATAAATGTATGGCCTCTTTTTTCCATCATAACACCAATGTCATCCGAGAAGAAATGCAATAAAGAGACAGCCAGCTTAAGAATCGAGTAATTGCTTTTTACAAAAGGCTTGTATCCTTAAAACTTTTGAGTTGAGAACCAGCTTTGGCTTGGGTGCGCCACCCTTTGTTTTTTTTTTTTTCGAGTTTCCTGGCTTGCACAGCGCGAAAATAGATGAACGATGGCAAGTGTTTTTCCAAAAGTTAGTACAATTGCCGAGGGCTCGGCTGAGATCGATTTAATGCACACTACATGAGAGTGAATGGTGGAAGATGGCAATTCCTGAGCTCACGAGAATCCCATGATCGAACCAGACCCAGCCTCATATTGTGTGTGGGAAAGGGAAAAATCAACCCTAATCCGACTGCTAGCAACTCGACGCAACCGGGCGCCTATAGGAAATGAAAGGTAGAAGTAACTAGAACCAACCTGGTTAGACGCTGGAAAGGGTCGTATTAAGGTAGGGCTGCAGTACTCTTACGGGACTAAGCACAAGGTCAAGGTCAAGGATTCGTTGATGAGATCTATGCTGCAAGATCTCGGGAGTCGAGTACACATACTGATAAGTAGGTCAATGCGGAGGTCGTACGTGTGAAGCGAGCAAGCGAAAGTGCCCAGAGAGACTAAGCACGTGACAATAGACTATCGAGAGCAAATTCGTGGCAAAAAATCGTTGCAACAAAACGGAATTTCTACTTGAAGTTGAGACGTTGCAAGAGACATCTCAAAGATGTTGTGTCTCATCTAGGTTCTTCATGTTTTAGAACTAGACACATCGACAACTGACAGGGCTATCACCTGACAATACTCCGGAGCTCCGATTCGCTATAATATTCCTCAAATCTCTGTCATATATCACAAATAGCAATCAAAGTTTGTTGCTGTTTAATCTGCGTTATCAAAGAATTGATGCTACTCAATAAGTATATATGCAACCTGAAGGAACGGCATGAAAGAGTCCATCAACAATCGGTATCTTGCATCTCGTCACTTTTTTGACATAGATACACGTGACTGATTACTGGGCACGAAAGATTGAGATCATCTCATTGAACCGGCACCGGCACCAGCACCAACACCAACACACCAATATCGGTATACCGATATCTGCGATATTTCGCACCCGCTTGAGTGGACAGTTGTTTGGTTGACTACGCACGTCCACAAATCCGCAACTCGACGAATCAACACCTCCTCAATCAACCAAAATGGAAGTATCCGACCGGAGACCGAATCTCCTTATTAGTGGTACGGAATACTTAACTCCATCATTTTTCCTGCGCGTCAGCTAATCTTCCGCACGTATAGGTGTCTAAAAGTCCTAGCACCGAACTATCTCGTACGTTCATGCGTTCTTACCTGGTCATTCCTTATCAAGTTGAAAAGTCAAATATCGTCTTGACCATTACCTCCAATGATATAATCGAGCTCATGTCTCATCTCCGAAGTGGAGTCTGCTTTTTTTAAAAAAAACTTTCAAAATTTGACCCTGGCGAACAGATGCATTGGACATGATCCGCTCGAGATTGAAGCGAGTCCGAATCTCCCGACTCCGCAGGGAGTTCAAGGCATATCCGGACATTGAAAAACGTGTCAATCCGGTTACCCGACGGCAATTTGTACATCAAAAAGCTTGTCAGCTACCACCACGTAGTGCCGATCATTCATAAAGTTGTCGATTAATTGGTGGGCAACAGAACTCATAAGGAAGTGCATCACGCTCCACATAGATGAAAATTCTTCGTTCTCCTGAGTATCACGTGGATATCGCTTGGCTATCTTGTGCAGAATTGCTCGGTTCTGCTACAGGCCACCCTTCCCTTTTTCCTAGGAAGGAAGCTTTGAATTGCACTCTGCTGTAACTTCACGTGTCTGCGTCACATTTGTACAGCAAGTCTCTCCATCGCAGAAATTCGCCTTAGGAAGGTAGAACATCAAAGGTATTGACGCCCCCCTGGAAACTGTGTCCCGTCGTCGACGTCGCATCTCTATTTGTTCCAGGGTTCTTGTTATCACTTCGGGATGGCAGCTTGCCGATGCTCGGTATCCACAGCTGATGAATAAGGTGTTAAATATTCATCCCCGAGTGCTAGGATTTCATTGACCGAAAGTTGCCTGCCATGTCAATACACAGTGTCGTACTCCTACATAAAAGCCTTGACACCTTGTCTCCGGACCATGTAAGCTAGGGATGGGAATAAACCCAGAGATATCCCGAAAGATCTGTTCTTGCATTTGCCTCTCGAAACTTACGCTGATGACATTCTACCTCTCCGAATGTTACCCCCTCGATCTATAGCCCGAATTGCAATCAGCCCAACGGTCTTGGCATTCTATTGACTCTATCATTCGTTCAGATGTTGCGCTACAGTTACTATTCTTCATTCAGAATACAAAAGGATTTTTGTTTACCACGGCCTATATTCAGAAGTACGAAGTAGAGGCACTTTCAGATAAACGACTCATCTGGTTGACAGGACAGGTGTTGACCGCCATGTTCCAAGAATCCGAAATCTATTATAGATTACATTCTTCGTCTGGGCGATAATCCATTCACCCAAGGGTTTACAAATCTATCAGAAATGAGGCTTGGAAAATGATTGTCGAAAATTTGTTATCGTGGGTGGTTACCAGTATCACGCCCGTACGGATGAGGCCGGACGAATACGAGAGACTGCCCCAAATGATCCAATCAAATTGATGAATTTCATCAAGTCCTGTCACAGGAATAAAGATGATTCCATCACATGGTGGCATGCCTTAGGGAGTATTTAAGGCTCTCACGTCAGCGGATTCGGTACCATTCCCTTGTACATTCA